CAGTTGGTAGTGTTTATGTGCCTTAGGATGTTGGTAGGTAGAACTTTATCCAGGCGACCAACGTTTGGACTGAATCGCCTCCTTCGAGGTCCAGGGTTTCAGCTATTGGGTGGACGAACCCGCTACCACACTAGAGCTTAGTAATAAGCAGAATTTGCTTTAGTAAGTGCTAAGTTGTAAGGGCTAGTTAAACTGGCTTTTTACTAACACTAAAAAGTGGAAGCGGATGCCCCCGCCCAATGTATGGAACCCTGACATTGAAGATAAGGCTTCCGAAACATAGGCCGCCTGGATAGAAGTTCCACCTGACAGCCTTGCAAGGCGCACGATAATCAAAGGCGATCGTGGTAACCCAAGATGCATGCCTGGGCTGCATTAAGAGGGGTTCTGTAGGGCGTAGTATAGCTTGCTGGGGGCAGCAATTGATTCTCAGCGAAACCTGCGCAGGACTCCTTGTGAAGACTTGCAAATTCTTGCAACTAAGGTGTCCAAGATACCCAAGATGTTCCTCGATAAGCAGGAGCAGGCTGTCGCCCATCACCTTCATGTACACCAAAATATGAAGTCATCTCCAATCGCAGCCTGACTGGAGAAGGCCTATGGAATTCACGTCACCTCCAAAGCTGCGAAACTTCTTGTATGGAGTCACCCATGGATAGCTACCTGGAGACCAGTACTCTTCTGGAAGACCTCCAACATCGAGCAGCTCCGACAACGTCGCTACGGTCTAGGACATCATCTTCACCGCAGTCGCCAAGGCGCGGGTTGGTGGTATGGACCGGAAGTTCCTGGAATGTGAAGACCGATATTTTCTTCGTGGACCCCGGACTGAAAGTGAACGCTGACGGTTACATCGACCAACTCGTGGAGAATATCCTGCCTTCATGTCATCGCCTGTACCTTCTTGGAAACTTCGTACTGCTACAGGATTGGGTGCCTCCACACGGAATCGAAGGGCGTAGGAAGTGGAATGGAAGGTCGTTGAGTACCTGAAGAAGACAGAATATCTGAGTGTGTCACCTGACCTAATCCCCTCAATTACCCGGTTCGGGCGGAGCTCAACAGGGTGGTCTACAGTGGCGGAGAAATCAACGATCTCGCTGAACTCAGGTACCGAATCACGGTCGCGTGGCAGAATCTCTCGATGGCGCTCGTCCAGAAGGCTGTGGCGGAGTATCATGATAGTATACAATATGCTGTTGAATATGGTGGTGGAAATGTCCAATCAGAATTCAATAAGTGTAACTTATAGCGCCTTGAAAGTCAAGGAAGAAAAAGTATTTTTTGCCCCCCCCCCCCTCCCCTTGAGACCTATTGGTTAAAATAACTCGCCAAAAGAACTGACAAAAGTGCAAATTTCTCTTCCCAAGCCAGCTCCATCTGGAAAAAGGGTGTTGTATTTGTGTCAAGCAGGGCCAAAGTGGGGCGCTGTTTGTCGACGGGGGGGGGCATTTTGTATTATCATTGCTTCCCTAGTTCCGGTTTACAAATCTCACTCTGGTAAAACTTGTGAACTCTTGTGAAGCTGAAGTAAGATCGTCTAGCCACTATCCTAAAACGTGTCAACTCGAGAAACGGCTACCTAGATGGGTCGACACATCTATGGAAAGCAAAATGCCCCCTCGTCGACAAACTGCGCCCCAAGTGGTTTTGTTGCAAATGGCGTCTATTGCCGCGCACTATGGCTTAAAACCCACGGTTTCAGATTGTTTGGGAGTATAAACAGGCTTGTTCATCGGCTGACGCGCGCAAGTGATTGTATAGGCTGAATACCTAATCGAAGGTGCACCCGTTTCTGAATGGAAGGAGAATGTAAGACGCATCCCAGAATGGGTTAGATCAACTGACAGATCTGAAAGCCTCATTTCTGGCGGTCTTCAAAGGAGCAATCTTGACGTTTTTAAAACGAGACCAACTTTGGGTGTTCCTTCAGAAGTGGTCGTTGTTGAACCCGTGCCGAAATTCATATGTTATGAATATTACAACGCCCATCGACGACCTGCAGTAATTTTCGCGAAAACCGGTACGAAAACAGAATGGGGCAGGTGAAAACCATAAAAACTGCTGGCCACCAAGATGCATAAGGCCCAGGTTTATTACGTGATTGTCGCAATGTCTCAAAATGATTTGAGACATGATATGACGGCCACAGGAGGCGTTAAAAAGATAGGTGGAGAAGAAATTCATCATTCTCCTACAGGCCACCTTCAGCATTGAAAGTTGGTAGTTGCTATGGTTGGTAACTGTCAAAGTAGTGCGATCCAAAGCTATGGTGTCTAAAGCTCCTTTTGCGCCCAAGTTGATCAGCGACTAGGATCGGCATCCTTCCTCATCCTCATAAACTTAGCGAGTTCGATACAGATTGGTTTCGTACATGTACACGTGTCGCTACTCGCTAACTTTACTTCTACTACTTGTCCTTATTCGAAGGTGGTCTGGAACCCCTACCGTATCAAAGCTGAATCAGACATCCCCTATGCAAAATTTGAGTTTCCAGAAGAGTAGACAGATCTGAGGGTAGCGTTCGCGACAACCTTTCCCAATCCAAATTTGACCCGTCCTTGATCGGTCAGTTGATTGCGCGAAGGCTACCAAATCTCTGGGATCAGAAACCGAGCTCGAGATTTATGATACATACACGTGAATAACAGTGTTATGTCCCGCTATTTTATTTTACGACAAAGGAAAGTGTAATTCCGAGAATCTCAATGATTTTTCCTGGAACTCAAACGTAAGCTGGTAACTCTCGTGGTTTTTTGATATTGATTGGATCCCACTTATTATGCCATTTGTTTGCGGAAGACAGCCTTGACTACCTTGAAGGCAGAGTGTAATCGCTAATCAGAGGTATGGGCGGAGAAAGTCAATGATAGATAGTGATAAGTCAATGACATCATTGGTTGGGGATTTTAGTCGACTTTGTACTACCCCCCCCCCCCTCCCCCCCCCCAGCCCTCTGTCCTTCCTCATCGAATCGAGCCGTCGAGCGGGGGGGGGGCATATAGTACGTGAAACAGGAAAATCACCAAAAGTCAACCGCCACTCCCACAACGCCAAAACGTAAATACGACCCCCCTCCCTCCCAAAAATGATCAAATACGACCCCCCCTTTACAACGTCCATGAAGCGAGAAAAATCAACTATCAAAATAAATTTTTCTCAGCCCAAATACGACCCCCTCTCCTGGCGACCAAATGCCCCCCATTGGGGATT